GCTGATGTATCCCTTGATATTCTGGTCCATTACTATTGTGGACTTCATTTTTCACAGTGTCAATATTTATATTCTCTCACTTCCTGTTCTCCCACTTCAGTGCTGATGTATCCCTTGATATTCTGGTCCATTACTATTGTGGACTTCATTTTTCACAGTGTCAATATTTATATTCTCTCGCTTTCGGATGTATCCCTTGATATTCTGGTCCATTACTATTGTGGACTTCATTTTTCACGGTGTCAATATTTATATTCTCTCGCTTCCTGTTCTCCCACTTCAGTGCTGATGTGTCCCTTGATATTCTGGTCCATTACTATTGTGGACTTCATTTTTCACAGTGTCAATATTTATATTATCTCGCTTCCTGTTCTCCCACTTCAGTGCTGATGTGTCCCTTGATATTCTGGTCCATTACTATTGTGGACTTTATTTTTCACGGTGTCAATATTTATATTCTCTCGCTTCCTGTTCTCCCACTTCAGTGCTGATGTGTCCTTTGATATTCTGGTCCATTACTATTGTGGACTTCATTTTTCACAGCGTCAATATTTATATTCTCTGGCTTCCTGTTCTCCCACTTCAGTGCTGATGTATCCCTTGATATTCTGGTCCATTACTATTGTGGACTTCATTTTTCACAGTGTCAATATTTATATTCTCTCGCTTCCTGTTCTCCCACTTCAGTGCTGATGTATCCCTTGATATTCTGGTCCATTACTATTGTGGACTTCATTTTTCACAGTGTCAATATTTATATTCTCTCGCTTCCTGTTCTCCCACTTCAGTGCTGATGTATCCCTTGATATTCTGGTCCATTACTATTGTGGACTTCATTTTTCACGGTGTCAATATTTATATTCTCTCGCTTCCTGTTCTCCCACTTTAGTGCGGATGTATCCCTTGATATTCTGGTCCATTACTATTGTGGACTTCATTTTTCACGGTGTCAATATTTATATTCTCTCGCTTCCTGTTCTCCCACTTCAGTGCTGATGTATCCCTTGATATTCTGGTCCATTACTATTGTGGACTTCATTTTTCACGGTGTCAATATTTATATTCTCTCGCTTCCTGTTCTCCCACTTCAGTGCTGATGTATCCCTTGATATTCTGGTCCATTACTATTGTGGACTTCATTTTTCACGGTGTCAATATTTATATTCTCTCGCTTCCTGTTCTCCCACTTCAGTGCTGATGTATCCCTTGATATTCTGGTCCATTACTATTGTGGACTTCATTTTTCACGGTGTCAATATTTATATTCTCTCGCTTCCTGTTCTCCCACTTCAGTGCTGATGTATCCCTTGATATTCTGGTCCATTACTATTGTGGACTTCATTTTTCACGGTGTCAATATTTATATTCTCTCGCTTCCTGTTCTCCCACTTCAGTGCTGATGTATCCCTTGATATTCTGGTCCATTACTATTGTGGACTTCATTTTTCACGGTGTCAATATTTATATTCTCTCGCTTCCTGTTCTCCCACTTCAGTGCTGATGTATCCCTTGATATTCTGGTCCATTACTATTGTGGACTTCATTTTTCACGGTGTCAATATTTATATTCTCTCGCTTCCTGTTCTCCCACTTCAGTGCTGATGTATCCCTTGATATTCTGGTCCATTACTATTGTGGACTTCATTTTTCACGGTGTCAATATTTATATTCTCTCGCTTCCTGTTCTCCCACTTCAGTGCTGATGTATCCCTTGATATTCTGGTCCATTACTATTGTGGACTTCATTTTTCACGGTGTAAATATTTATATTCTCTCGCTTCCTGTTCTCCCACTTCAGTGCGGATGTATCCCTTGATATTCTGGTCCGTTACTATTGTGGACTTCATTTTTCACAGTGTCAATATTTATATTCTCTCGCTTCCTGTTCTCCCACTTTAGTGCTGATGTATCCCTTGATATTCTGGTCCATGACTATTGTGGACTTCATTTTTCACGGTGTCAATATTTATATTCTCTCGCTTCCTGTTCTCCCACTTCAGTGCGGATGTGTCCCTTGATATTCTGGTCCATTGCTATTGTGGACTTCATTTTTCACGGTGTCAATATTTATATTCTCTCGCTTCCTGTTCTCCCACTTCAGTGCTGATGTATCCCTTGATATTCTGGTCCATTACTATTGTGGACTTCATTTTTCACGATGTCAATATTTATATTCTCTCGCTTCCTGTTCTAACACTTCAGTGCTGATGTATCCCTTGATATTCTGGTCCATTACTATCGTGGACTTCATTTTTCACAGTGTCAATATTCATATTCTCTCGCTTCCTGTTCTCCCACTTCAGTGCTGATGTGTCCCTTGATATTCTGGTCCATTACTATTGTGGACCTCATTTTTCACGGTGTCAATATTTATATTCTCTCGCTTCCTGTTCTCCCACTTCAGTGCTGATGTGTCCCTTGATATTCTGGTCCATTACTATTGTGGACTTCATTTTTCACGGTGTCAATATTTATATTCTCTGCGAAGGACAAGAGGGTGAAGTCACGACTACAATCCCTTGATATTCTGGTCCATTACTATTGTGGACTTCATTTTTCACGGTGTCAATATTTATATTCTCTCGCTTCCTGTTCTCCCACTTCAGTGCGGATGTATCCCTTGATATTCTGGTCCATTACTATTGTGGACTTCATTTTTCACGTTGTCAATATTTATATTCTCTCGCTTCCTGTTCTCTCACTTCAGTGCGGATGTATCCCTTGATATTCTGGTCCATTACTATTGTGGACTTCATTTTTCACGGTGTCAATATTTATATTCTCTCGCTTCCTGTTCTCCCACTTCAGTGCTGATGTGTCCCTTGATATTCTGGTCTATTACTATTGTGGACTTCATTTTTCACAGTGTCAATATTTATATTCTCTCGCTTCCTGTTCTCCCACTTCAGTGCGGATGTATCCCTTGATATTCTGGTCCATTACTATTGTGGACTTCATTTTTCACGGTGTCAATATTTATATTCTCTCGCTTCCTGTTCTCCCACTTCAGTGCTGATGTGTCCCTTGATATTCTGGTCCATTACTATTGTGGACTTCATTTTTCACGGTGTCAATATTTATATTCTCTCGCTTCCTGTTCTCCCACTTCAGTGCTGATGTATCCCTTGATATTCTGGTCCATTACTATTGTGGACTTCATTTTTCACGGTGTCAATATTTATATTCTCTCGCTTCCTGTTCTCCCACTTCAGTGCTGATGTATCCCTTGATATTCTGGTCCATTACTATTGTGGACTTCATTTTTCACGGTGTCAATATTTATATTCTCTCGCTTCCTGTTCTCCCACTTCAGTGCTGATGTATCCCTTGATATTCTGGTCCATTACTATTGTGGACTTCATTTTTCACGGTGTCAATATTTATATTCTCTCGCTTCCTGTTCTCCCACTTCAGTGCTGATGTATCCCTTGATATTCTGGTCCATTACTATTGTGGACTTCATTTTTCACGGTGTCAATATTTATATTCTCTCGCTTCCTGTTCTCCCACTTCAGTGCTGATGTATCCCTTGATATTCTGGTCCATTACTATTGTGGACTTCATTTTTCACGGTGTCAATATTTATATTCTCTCGCTTCCTGTTCTCCCACTTCAGTGCTGATGTATCCCTTGATATTCTGGTCCATTACTATTGTGGACTTCATTTTTCACAGTGTCAATATTTATATTCTCTCGCTTCCTGTTCTCCCACTTCAGTGCGGATGTATCCCTTGATATTCTGGTCCATTACTATTGTGGACTTCATTTTTCACGGTGTCAATATTTATATTCTCTCGCTTCTTGTTCTCCCACTTCAGTGCTGATGTATCCCTTGATATTCTGGTCCATTACTATTGTGGATTTCATTTTTCACAGTGTCAATATTTATATTCTCTCGCTTCTTGTTCTCCCACTTCAGTGCTGATGTATCCCTTGATATTCTGGTCCATTACTATTGTGGATTTCATTTTTCACAGTGTCAATATTTATATTCTATCGCTTCCTGTTCTCCCAAGGCGACACGAATGGATACTTCTTGAGTTGTCTACTGTGCTCTTTTCTTTGTTATATTTTCCATTTCTATTGTTAGCTGAGGAAGGCAATATGCCGAAACGTACTTGTTTTTTGTCCTGTTCTCTTATTTCAAGCTTCCACATACCTCGTTTTTCTATTTCATTCATTCATTTATTCCTTTACTTTCTACTAAAAAAAAAATATAGCACGTGAAGCTTTTCCTTTTCAACTGTCCATCTTTGACACCGGACAATATCACGATAAGATCGTACGATTATTAAATCTCTACCCCCGCCCCCATGTGGCGCTTACAAGAAATCCCTTGACACTAACTTCATGTCGAGGAAACACGCCCAGGGCGATCCAGCCACCGATACTGCCTGACCCATGACAAGCAATAACAGCGGTTACAAATCCTTATGTCCACATCGACTAAAAGAATCGCTAGAACATCCAGAACGATGACACCACAGTTGTAGAGATTAATAAAACGATGAGAACTATGAGTTTGTCCAGACATTATTTCTTAGGGACTCTAAAAAGTTGTATGCATTAAAGACTAACCCCCCTTTGTTCTTAAAAAAGGTGATAGTGATCCATGACATTTTACAGATGGAGGAGGACCGCGTTCAAGCTGTGTGAGGGAAATAGTGGAACAATGGTATGTGGAAGCTTGAAATGTAAAGACAAGACAATAAAAGGAGAACGTTTCGGTCAAGAGCCTTCTTCGGCAGACAGGAAAAAAAGAAGAAACAACAAGAAATAGAACCGGTTCAAAAATGAATGTGTTTGGAATTCGCCATGGATGCTATGTTACTTACTAAAAAAAATATTCTTCTGCTATCGTCATGTGGAGACATACATCCGGATCAAAAAAAAAAAAGGGAAAGTAGTTTGACCAATAAAGAGAAATTAACTATTCGAGCTGTCAACAAAAATAAAAAAAACTTTAAGCTCCTTTAAAGAATGAAAACAAATAATATGAGGCCAATTTGACTTATATCTTTATTTTTAAAGAAATGAGAATAGAATGTCCTTATACTTTATATTAAAATAACATATTTAATGAATTCAAGTTTATTTCAGATACTTTATTAATGATATTTTTTCAATATAATAGCTCAACGGTTTAGCACACAAATGGATAGACAACCCACACAACCTCACACACAAACACAATACAAGGGGGCCCCATATCACCCACCCCCCCCTGTCCCTACCCGTGTTGGACGTACCCTAATCAGGCATACGAGTGACTCCGTTGGTGAATCTGTCAGTTAAACATTTCTCAGTGAGCAAATTTAATGAATCATCAACCGACTCACTCTACCGATTAGCGTATCGAATACACTCTTAATTAACGTTCGATACCAGAGGATGCGTTCGTAACACCGTACAGTTCGATACCCTGTGTTTAACTTCCGACGCTTCGCTACAGCGTGGACCTCCTAATCACCTATATCTCGTGCGGTATTTTTTTTTTTAGTTATTACCCAAACTTATATTTTTATTTTACAAAATTCAACAAATCAAAAGTGTCACAAACTGCTCTTCTATGTTTCAACGAAATTTTCATCTGTTCATGAGTTAGCGTTCTTTTAGGTCAGTTAGCTCCCCTAAATTCAGTACTTGTCATACTTTGTCTGTTGTTCAAACAGTGCCGTCTGGGAGTTCACCCGTTTGGCAGACTCGGAGTCCGATCTGGGGGGAAAAGAAGAGGGGAATGGTTATGTGGTCAAAGCTATCCTATGGCCTGAGATTTATGTTTAGCAGGGATACTTTTTAAAGGCAGAGATTCCCAAAGTGTGAGCACAATTTTTATATTTTATTTTTCCTTTTCGATTTAATGTGACAGAACGCTACAATCATTTGAATTATTTTAATTTTGTGACTTTAGATAGTTGGATTTATTTTTACGTAAAAATATAATTAAACGGAATGATTTCTATCGTTATTTTGCTGTGGCCTTGTTAGTATTTGTCTTGGGGCGCCCTATTAAAAAAAATTATTCACCAATGTCTTCATGAATCTTAAAAGTTAGGGAACCACTTGAAGGTATTAATATTAAAGAATCCATGATACATTTTAATAATTTACGAAGAAAGTTTATTTGTTTAACTTATCAAGGGGAGTTAGGATAATATCCTATGAACGGTGCTTCCCTTAGACGTTTACAATAAGTTTGGTTACTATTTAAAGGGATCTTTATTTCAGTAAATGTCTCATGAGCAGTTGTTTGATACATTTAAAGCTTTTGAAAAAAGGGTTCTGGGTGGCCGAGCGGTCTAAACTGTCTCAAACCAAATAGCTAGTGGTCTGGAGCTCAATCCCAACATAAGCCGACATCCCTAGCACCCCGGGTGGATGGGACTCGGCACCCCATGTGGATGGGACTCGGCACCCCGGGTGGATGGGACACGGCACCCCGGGTGGATGGGACTCGGTTAGCCTATGACGGCAGCTCATCTAAGAGAAGGGAAACTCTCAATTTAAACCAGGAGCCAGAATGATCAACATATTGATCGTGGCCCCCTCAAACATAAGAAGAAGAAGAAATGTGTTTAGCATAGATACACATTTAAAGGAAGTTTAAACCAACGGAGACAATTCATTTTATTTTCTTTGCCACGAGCAAGCCAGAGTTAACTACGTTTAGTTCCTATAATTTATTGTTTCCTTCTTTTGGTCGATTTTTTTGTTAATAAAAGGACAGATAAGGAACTACATTTTTTTTTCATTATGCATGGGTCCCCCCCCCTCCCATTTTTTCAAACACTTATTAAGTAATGACAATAATGTAAATAATGTCACAACACTTTTTATTACTGGAAGGTTAGACCTTCACCAAGACACCTGCCCACCACCAGCCTCTTCCAGCTAGACTTAATATCTTACAACTCGATGCCTGTCATATGAGATGACATGTACTCATGAGACGATGATACACCAATCTGAGAAGACATGTACTTAAGTCATTTACCTAAATCTTGAAGACAGGTACATGACTGTGACAAAGGTGAACACACAGATGGCCATGATCAGAAGGATGTGTGTCGCCGACACAGAGGCAGCGTGGTGATGTCGGCGGAGCTCACGAGTCGACTGTTGACCTGAGGAGCAGAGGTCAGAGTTCACTTGTTTCAACAATACTTTATAATGCAGCCTTCAAGTTCAAAACTTGTTGATATGAAACGTCGAGCAATGTCATAAATTTAGTGGAGAGGGGGAGAAGCACCATTTTATATTTTATAAGATTTCATTACGAATGTATTGTTACCAATACACCTTTTTTATTTTAAGAGATTCGCCGAAACGACCGGAGTGAGCACCACGCCAAACTACAACACAAATTAAAACACGTGAATTTAAGGTTTAGGACAGTTATTCACTACTGCGAACATATTTTTTTAAATACCAAAAAAAAAAAAAAAAAAAAAAAAAAAAAAAAAAAAAAAAAAATAAAAAAAAAAAAAAAAAAAAAAAAAAAGAAAAAAAAAAAACAAAAAAAAAAAAAAAAAAAAAGGTCATAAAAAAAAAGTTTTAATATTAACAACAAACAAACTGTTGTGTTTAAAACGTGTAACCTATGACAGGAATATTATTGAACCCCTGTCATATCATGTCATGTCATGTCAAGTATAAATCTAACGATCGTACCCCGTGTGAAAGCTTCCACCCCTGTCGCTTATCTACTCACCTTGGCTTTGATAAAACTCCACAATCTCATCTTTCTTAGCCTCTGGTTTGGCGTTGTCAACTTTAGCCTTGAGGGCGAGGATCTGAATGATGCTTTGCTCCATGCTGCCATCTTTGACGTTCGGTTCTTTCTTGGAGTCAAACCTCTGTGAATCGCCCGACGTTATTGAATGGCCTTCACCCGAGCCGGCCCTGCCACCTTGCACACCATTCTGCACACCGTGATTTTGCTCGTTCCCCAGCGGACCGAGATCGTCCTGATGTCCAACCCTATCCCCCTGTGGTCCAAATTCTGGTTTTGCAGTATTGTCTTCGTGGTGGACGTAATCAGGGACATGTGCACCGGGAACGTGGTTACATTTAACAGGATACTTACGACCGAGCTTTCTTACGCCTCCCGTAGCGTTTCGGTCGTGGAGCTCAGCGAGGCTTATTTCTTTGGCTTCTTTCACCTTATTGGCGTTGGTTAAGATAAAATACCCGATTCTTAAACCACCACCGGACTTGCCAGGACCCTGACCTTGTTTATGCCCAGGCCGTGGGAAAGCCGTGCTCTCGCTGTGAGCCGATCCGCTCTCCAAATGGCGACCACCCTCTCGCTTTGATCTCACGGCAGACGGTAGGCCGCCGACGCCATCCTTTATACCTGTGGCCTTGAACCCCTCAGAAAATGCTTTGACCTCTTTTTCAGACAAATGATCTCCGACGATATTTACCAGCGTCTGAAGGAACCAATCATTTTTCTCTATGAATTTCAGCTTCTCCCTATTAACTTGAAACAATTCAAAGATATTCTTGAAGTGGTTCATATCGTGTTTTTCTGTTTCTCGCTGAACTTGTTCGTCTTCCATGATAAGCTTCCCGTCATCAGCTTCTCCCGAGTGTACGTTGGCGCCGACGATTCCTTCAAGGAGTTTTTGTGGAGCACTCACATCCAGCTTTATCACCGTCACGTCGGGAACGTTTCTCAGAATGTTGAGCACTGCGTCGCCGAGCTCGTTCTCACTCACTGCATTCAACGTGTCGGGCTGAAACAGTGTGTCGGGCTGATTCAACGTGTCGGGCTGGTTCAATGGGTTGGGCTGGTTCAATGTGTTGGGCTGATTCAACGTGTCTGGCTGGTTCAATGTGTTGGGCTGATTCAACGTGTCGGCCTGATTCAAGGTGTCCGGCTGATTCAATGTGTCGGGCTTGCTCGTATGGGCTGGTTTGGATATCGGGAGCTCCCCATTACCTTCACCTGGCGAGTCTGCAACCTTGACCTTGCCTATGACGTTTGCACCCAGCTTTAGATCAGAGGGTTTAAATGACGCACTGGCCCCTTGAAGCTGGAGCGGTTCTTGGTTCGTTCTGCTGTCTTCATCCTGATACGCGGTGGAACGAAAAAATTAATTTTTTATAATATTATTCAATTAAATTTAATTCATGTCAGCCCACTGGATGCTGCCAGCCAAGTGGAAGCTATCAACCCAGTGGAAGCTGTCAGCCCAGTAGAAGCTATCAACCCAGTTGAAGATGTCAACCCAGTGGAAGCTATCAACCCAGTGGAAGCTGTCAGCCCAGTGGAAGCTATCAACCCAGTGGAAGCTGTCAGCCCCTTTTATGATCTAGGCCCATTTTTATTTTAAATTCAATACATAATACATTCATGCCCGACAATGCAAGTTCATTTTCATTGTAAAAAGAACTAAACTGTCATGTATAGAAATTCTCTAAAGATATGGACTTTGATACAAAGATTTTTTTTCACGCCGAGCCCAGCTTAATAATCGTTGTCAACTGATAGCTTAGAATTATACGTTCTCGGAAGACTATACATTTAAATTTCATTAAAATCATTTTTTGATATTAAACTAAAACATTTTCTGAATTCAACAACGCGAATATCTTTTACCACTGAATGCGCCACCGCTGATAGAAATTTGTGATCTTTACTGACGTCCCGGTGTGTCTGAGCGTCCTCTTCTAGTGAAGCATTGATGGCTTAGAAGAGAAAATATCGACAATAAATTAGAGCATCATTAAAACAAGGCCGTTTTACAATCAAAGGGCTTTTGATATCATTGGAGACTTGACCGTAGACACTTCCGTTCCCATTTTCTTTTTCCAAATTCATCAAATGGCGCTAACATGATACAGGACTCTGACAGGGTGACTTCGCATTCACACTAGTCTTGTTCAGAGGCCAACCAACACTATACCCTTACTCGGAAAGATTTTTTTCAAAACAATAGCGAGACAATTTGTTTTATAAACGATTTACAACTCTCTCACACAAAACTCAAAGTTTAGCGTCGACAGCATTAAAGGTATTCTCCCTGTTAAACATATTTATAAATTACTAGAGATTTTGAGACAGTTGACTGAGACAGATTATTGTTCACTTGGACAGATTATAGCTCACTTTAATAGATTATAGTTAATTATGGGAGAGATTATAGCTCGCTTTGACATATTATAGTTTCACGGACGGATTATTGTCCACTGGAACATAATAAAGTTCACTGGGACATATTATAGTTTACTGAGACATACTATAGTTCACTGGGACATATTATAGTTCAGTAGGACATATTATAGTTCACTGGGACATATTATAGTTCACTGGGACATATTATAGTTCACTGCGGCATATCAAGAAGACAGACAGACAAGCAATAAACCTCCAGATTCCCCCATCCCACCCTCCCACTCTATCCGTGACCCCTGGAGAGTTATGTGCTTAAGCTATACGCATATTTCTAAATAAGCACCACAATAATAAAAGTCCCATTTAATCGTATAGTATTGGTAACTATACATAATTTTCAAAGCGTACCCTTGTCTGATTTTGCGTTCTTCGAATCCCCTTTCAGTACTTCAGTGTTTTCAGGCAAACCTTCCTGACGACCTTCAACCTTGGTCCGAAGATTCGTGACATGTTCTTCGTCTCGTACGCTATGGGTCTTCTCAGTGTTCGTTTGTTTTGAATCAGAGGCGTGTTGTCGCTCAGACAGAGCTTTTAAAAACAGTGAATCTTTCCTAGAAGTGAAAAACACATATTCTGAATTGCCCAGTTCTAAATGATATTTAACCCCAAAATTAGCTCTTCAATTTGTTATATTATTGTTAGCTGGTGTAGATTTATTAATTTATTTTACCATTGTGCAGCCATACACCGTGTTGAAAGCCAGAGCTAGAATCTGTGCTGTGTGTTACATTTAATCTTGACTTTGAGAAATGAATGGATTTCATAAATATCAGCCCAGTGGATGCCCACAGCACAGCTTCTTGTTCTAACGCACAGCAACAGTGTCTTGTTCTAACGCACAGCAACAGTGTCTTGTTCTAACGCACAGCAACAGTGTCTTGTTCTAACGCACAGCAACTGTGTCTTGTTCTAACACACATCAACAGTGTCTTGTTCTAATGCACAGCAACAGTGTCTTGTTCTAGCGCACAGCACAGTGTCTTGTTCTAACACACAACAACAGTGTCTTCTTTTAACGCACAGCACAGTTTATTGCTCTAATACACAGCAGAGTGTCTTGTTGTACCACAAATCAAGGTGTCTTCTTTTAACGCACAGCAGCAGAGTCTTGTTCTAACACACAGCAACAGTGTCTTGTTCTGACACACAGCAACAGTGTCTTGTTCTAACACACATCAACAGTGTCTTGTTCTAATACACAACACGGTGTCTTGCTCTAATACCCAGCAAAATGTCCTGTCTGACACACAGCACACTTTCTTACCGTAACGCACAGCACAGTATGTGTCACTTTTAAACAACAATGTCTTAAAAAGGCACACACAATGAAATTCCCAGAACCCCCAGAAGTCAGCGCTAATTGCAGTTGTTACAAAACACGTTTCTTAAATTCATGTTCTGTCAAGTATCTTTAGTACATGGGTGGTACACGCCTATCCCACGCCTTTATTTTGTGGGTTATTTCTGGTGAGGAACTAATCTCCACAGAGCGTATAGCCCTCAAACTGTTTGATGAGTCTGTTGTGTAGCTATAATTTATGGGTCGAGACTTACATTTCGTGGATCTTTGAAAATAACAAAGGGATGGATCTAATTATTTCTAATGTATGGATCAAACGGATGGATCAAATGGATGGAACAAATGGATGAATCAAATGGATGGTTTAAATGGATGGAACAAATGGATGGATCAAATGGATGGAAATAATGGATGGATCAAATGGATGGAACAAACGGATGGATCAAATGGATGGAACAAATGGATGGAACAAATGGATGGATCAAATGGATGGAACTAATTGATGGATCAAATGGATGGAACAAACGGATGGATCAAATGGATGGAACAAATGGATGGAACAAATGGATGGATCAAATGGATGGTTTAAATGGATGGAACAAATGGATGGATCAAATGGATGGAACTAATGGATGGATCAAATGGATGGAACAAACGGATGGATCAAATGGATGGAACAAATGGATGGATCAAATGGATGGTTTAAATGGATGGAACTAATGGGAATACCCCCGCCCCATTAAAAAAAAAAAAGATACCTATTTCAACTAACACTATTGCTGCTGTTCAAACATTAATAATTCGCATATTAATCCATACTATAAATATAAGGGATTAATATTTTGTTATATTTAACAATGCATGTGAACCCACATGACTGGTAAGATGCTTTTGGAGTGAACGGGTCTTATTTCGCGAAGCAATGCAGGGCTCCTCCTTTCGAATTACTTGCATTAATGTTTCTTTGGTAAGATAAACGTTTAAAAAATAACTCCATAATTACCGCAGCCAAATTATTTACAAAATGCAAATACTGAAACCAGCCGCAACTAGCTTTAGCTGGCTATGATCTAAACTTAGCGAATGGAACTAACCTGGTCGCTCGATCAGCATTTCCATCTTCCCGAAGTGAGGCGGGTTTCACCGAGATGGGTGGGTCATCAGTCCAAGCGGTGCGGTCGCCGGCAACGTCACCTCGAACAAACGGAAGCATAGATCCCATCATCACCAAAAGGACCAAGACAACGCAAGCCACTGCCTCGGTAGCCGCTCTTTGAGGTCTGTCATTCATTCCTGTGGTCTGTTGAATTTTCCGCTGTGAAGAGAATAGGGTTGTAGGGAGGCCCGTTCACGTTCGCCCAGAACTGTTACATGAAGGAGTTTGGAGCAAATCTCCCGTGGAGAAATTCTAGAGAAAACTTTACTCGCTAAAGTAATTATTTCTCGATTTTTGTCCGCACAATACAACTGAAAAGATTTCCTTCTATGTGCAGATCTGTGTATAAGTCACGCTTGGAGATGATGACGTTCAGCGCATTTCGATTCTTGTTTGGATTTGAGATTATTTTGATCCTTTTTGGACGAGTTTGCGAAGAGATTTTTAACAATGAAATAATATACAATATAGGAGAGTATTCACGACATATTTTTTATAAGGCTACATTTAAATTGACCCTTTATATTGTAGTATAACAATTAGTAATAAAGTTAAAAACACTAAAAGAGATTGAGCGGTGCAAAGTGCTTTCTGCAAACACCAAGTTGCGTTTCCAGCTTGCACTCTGCTCCCTCTTATGAGCACTTCGTGCCTCATTTGAGCGCGGCCATCCATTGCTTTTTAATGCCTCTTGAAAAGAAATACATTTAATGTCTGAACTGATTATTGTATAGACATTGTGTCTCTTGTGTCAATGACATTTGCAAGTAAAATGGAGCCCAAAGGATGCTTTTAAACTTAACCAAAAAAAAAAAAAAAAAAACAAAAAAAAAATTCTTGAAAAGAAATACATTTAATGTCTGAACTGATTATTGTATAGAAATTGTGTCTCTTGTGTCAATGACATTTGAAAATAAAATGGAGCCCAAAGGATGCTTTTAAACTTAACCAAAAAAAAAAAAAAAAAACCCACCAAAAAACAAACAAAACAAAAAACCTTTAAGAAGCTATTGGATTTTTAAAAAATAATAAACATACGAGTTATTGAACTCATTCAATCATTTTCATAAACCATGTTCAATATAACGTCAGTGAAATTAATTTAATGTCTTTATTCGATTACACTATGCAATAATTCCCTGTATTCTATGATACTGTCGGACAGCTGCCTGTATTCTATGATACTCTCGGACAGCTGCCTGTATTCTATGATACTCTCGGACATCTGCCTGTATTCTATGATATTTATTGTCTGACAACTGCCTGTATTATGTGGTACTGTCCAGCAGCTGCCTGTACTACGTGGTACTGTCCAACAACTGCCTAGGTTATGTAGTACTGTCCAACAACTGCCCGTATTCTGTGTTACTGTGCAACAACTGTCTCTATTACGTGATACCACCCAACAACTGCCTGAAAAACGTGATAATATCCCACAATTCCTGAATAATGTCACATGTCCAACAATGGCCTGTAGGATGTGATGGTTTGATGTGTAGCCCTGGGTGAAAGGGGGCGGAGTTCCTGCGACGCCGACCTTTGACACGGCCCAACGCCCTGGGAAACTCAGGCCAGCGAAGACAAAAAGAACATAAAGGAATTACTCCTCCACTATCGTTCCCGCCCTGAGAAGCCACCAAAGAAGGAATGGGAGGACCTCCTTCAAACTTAGGTGTGACGTCACACACTGATCGATTTAATTAAGATCGTCAATAATAAAAGAAAAAAATATTGATGAGAGAAAGGTCAGAACAAATATTTGTCTTATTACAAAGAATGACGGTGAAATGTTATAATTGAAGAACATCAATATCCTTACATTATTACAGGACTTTACCACGGATAGGATTCATCTAAGTGATACATTTAAGTGATCCATCTAAGTGATACATCTAAGTGATACATCTAAGTGATAAAGTTAAGTGATACATCTAAGTGATACATCTAAGTGATACATTTAAGTGATACATCTAAGTGATACATCTAAGTGATACATCTATGTGATACATCCAAGTGATGCATCTAAGTGATACATCTAAGTGATGCATCTAAGTGATACATCTAAGTGATACATCTAAGTGATACATCTAAGTGATGCATCTACATGATACATCTAAGTGATACATCAAAGTGATACATCTAAGTGATACATCTAAGTGATACATCTAAGTGATGCATCTAAGTGATACATCTAAGTGATACATCTAAGGCATACATCTAAGTGATACATCTAAGTGATACATTTAAGTGATACATCTAAGTGATACATCTAAGTGATACATCTAAGTGATACATCTAAGTGGTACATCTAAGTGATACATCTAAGTGATACATTTAAGTGATACATCTAAGTGATACATCTAAGTGATACATCTAAGTGATACATCTAAGTGATACATCTAAGTGATACATCCAAGTTATACGTCTAAGTGATACATCTAAGTGATACATCTAAGTGATACATCTAAGTGATACATCTAAGTGATACATCTAAGTGATACATCTAAGTGTTACATCTAAGTGATACATCCAAGTTATACATCTAAGTGATACATCTAAGTGATACATCTAAGTGATACATCTAAGTGATACATCTAAGTGATACATCCAAGTGATACATCCAAGTGATCAATCCAAGTGATACATCTAAGTGATACATCTAAGTGATACATCTAAGTGATACATCTAAGTGATACATCTAAGGGATACAGCCAAGTGATACATCTAAGTGATACATCTAAGTGATACATCCAAGTGATACATCCAAGTGATACATCTAAGTGATACATCTAAGTGATACATCTAAGTGATACATCTAAGTGATACATCTAAGTGATACATCTAAGTGATACATCTAAGTGATACATCTAAGTGATGCATCTAAGTGATACATCTAAGTGATACATTTAAGTGATACATCTGAATGATACATCTAAGTGATAAATCTAAGTGATACATCTCAGTGATACATCTAAGTGATACATCTAAGTGATACATCTAAGTGCTGCTTCTAAGTGATACATCTAAGTGATACATCTAAGTGATACATCTAAGCGATACATCTAAGTGATAAATTTAAGTGATACATCTAAGTGATACACCTAAGTGATACATCTAATTCATAATAATTAATGATACACTTAAGTGATACATCTAAGTGATAAATCTAAGTTATACATCCAAGTGATATATCCAAGTGATGCATCTAAGTGATACATCTAAGTGATACATCTAAGGGATACATCTAAGTGAAAATCTAAGTGATACATATAAGTGATAAATCTAAGTGATACATCTAAGTGATACATTTAAGTGATACATCTAAGTGGTACATCTAAGTGATACATCTAAGTAATACATCTAAGTGATACATATAATTGATACATCTAAGTGATACATCTAAGTGATACATCTAAGTGATACATCTAAGTGATACATCCAAGTGATACATCTAAGTGATACATCTAAGTGATACATCTGAGTGATACATCTAAGTGATACATTTAAGTGACACATCTAAGCGATACATCTAAGTGATACATCAATGTGATACATCTAAGTGATGCATCTAAGTGATACATCTAAGTGATGCATCTAAGTGATACATCTAAGTGATACATCTAAGTGATACATCTAAGTGATACATCTAAGTGATACATCTAAGTGATACATCTAAGTGATACATCTAAGTGATACATCTAAGTGATAAATTTAAGTGATAAATCTAAGTGATACATCTAAGGGATACATTTAAGTGATACATCTAAGTGATAAATCTAAGTGATACATCTAAGTGATACATCTAAGGGATACATCCAAGTGATACATCTAAGTGATACATCTAAGTGATACATCTAAGTGATACATCTAAGTGAAAATCTAAGTGATAATCTAAGTGATACATCTAAGTGATACATCTAAGTGATACATCTAAGTGATACATCTAAGTGATACATCTAAGTGGTACATCTAAGTGATACATCTAAGTGATACATCTAAGTGATACATATAATTGATACATCTAAGTGATACATCTAAGTGATACATCTAAGTGATACATCTAAGTGATACATCCAAGTGATACATCTAAGTGATACATCTAAGTGATACATCTAAGTGATACATCTAAGTGATACATCTAAGTGATACATCTAAGTGATACATCTAAGTGATACATCCAAGTTATACGTCTAAGTGATACATCTAAGTGATACATCTAAGTGATACATCTAAGTAATACATCTAAGTGATACATCTAAAAGATGCATCTAAGTGATACATCTAAGTGATACATCTAAGTGTTACATCTAAGTGATACATCCAAGTTATACATCTAAGTGATACATCTAAGTGATACATCTAAGTGATACATCTAAGTGATACATCTAAGTGATACATCTAAGTGATACATCTAAGTGATACATCTAAGTGATACATCTAAGTGATACATCTAAGTGATACATCTAAGTGATACATCTAAGTGATACATCTAAGTGATACATCTAAGTGATACATCTAAGTGATACATCTAAGTGATACATCTAAGTGATACATTTAAGTGATACATCTAAGTGATACATCTAAGTGATACATCTAAGTGATACATCTAAGTGATACATCTAAGTGATAAATTTAAGTGATACATCTAAGTGATACATCTAAGTGATACATTTAAGTGATACATCTAAGCGATACATCTAAGTGATAAATTTAAGTGATACCTCTAAGTGATATACCTAAGTGATACATCTAAGTGATAAATTTAAGTGATACATCTAAGTGATATACCTAAGTGATACATTTAATTCATACTATTTAATGATACACTTAAGTGATACATCTAAGTGATACATCTAAGCGATACATCTAACTGATACATCTACGTGATACATCTAAGTGATGCATCTAAGTGATAAATCTAAGTGATACATCTAAGTGATACATCTAAGTGATACATCTAATTGATACATTTAAGTGATACATCTAAGTGATACATCTAAGTGATACATCTAAGTGATACATCTAAGTGATACATCTAAATGATACATCTAAGTGATACATCTAAGTGATACATCTCAGTGATACATCTAAGTGATACATCTAAATGATACAGGTAAGTACATTTGAATAAGAATTACGTCCCTTTGTGGTTGTTTTGAATCCAAACCTAAAATCCCAAGACACGAGCAGGTGATAACTCACTGGAGAGTTTGCCTACCTATATTCAGCAATATCATTCATTTCACTAAACTGTCCATCAACTGTCCATCAACTGTCCATCAACTGTCCATCAACTGCCCATCAAGTGTCCATCAACTGTCCATCAACTGTCCATCAACTGTCCATCAACTGTCCATCAACTGTCCATCAACTGTCCATCAACTGTCCATATTGTGTGAATACTTAGCAAAAGCAGAGAACCCCTAAAACCAAAGCTATGCGTAGAAATCCCACTTCTTATTTATCAATTTCCTATTTTGTGGGGTTGTGTTGTGGGGCTGAAAATTTGAAAGACTGTGTTGTCATTGGCAACGGGT